CTCAATTTTGTGCGTAAGGACTCATCCTTTGTACCTCAGGACTCGTAACTCCGTGAGTGCAGTTTTGGTCTCCCTCTGCTAGCTGAACAAGGACTGAGATCTCATGCGGTAGCAGGACCAGACCTTTGCACAAGGATACTTTACTGACATTTGTACGAAGTCAACAAGTACAGCAGCTCGTGGGATCTTGAGGAGTCCTTGAGCTAATGTATCACTCTTGTGTTGTAATCCGCTACATGATGGTAGCTAAGCTTGAAACCCCTGCGGGGGGCTGTGACTGAATGCACCCCAGAAGCCAGAATAAGGGCTGAGCTTAGGATCCCTGTTCAGCCTACTGGTACCTACGGGAGCGGGAATGATTTGAATGACAACCTGCTACAGCTTGATGCTGAAACCAGGGTTGCCTACACAGGCTACACTTGAAGTTTCACGACTGTCAAAGGAAGTGAAGTGTGAACTCGGGGGATAACATGTGCTCTGCCTGGTGCATAATTGGCAGAGTCACTCCACTACCCTCATTCTACATGATTGTTATATTTTGAGACAGAACTGGGAACATAAGGCACAACAAATGCCATAGCTGTGATGGACCTCAATGGAAGAAGGTGATGCTCTTGAATACGCCACGGCGATCACTGGCAGTACCGTACGGGAAATCAGAAGGCCTCCGACATGCTGACAAACAGGATGTACCAAACTGCAGGGTGGCAGAGGATGACAGATTGACTGACTAGAGAGGATGGGAAATTTTCGTGGGGGTGCCCCTAATCAAGTGATTTGAAACAACAGCAGGGTGTGCCGCCATCATATCAGTGTAGGGGTGCTGGCACTCCAACACGCCTCCTAAGTCTCGATGGCCGAGGGAGCTTTGGAATCAACCATGACATTCCCATGATGCTATGTCCTGCGGTACTCGAGCTGTCCAGAACCTGGACCTCATCCAGCCCGATGGGCGAGAAATCAAAAGAATGCCGGGCCAGAAATGGATGGTCGGTGGCTTCCGCCATTGGAAGATCAAAAGTGGACAAAGCATAATCAAATAATTACCGCGAGCAGGACTTACAAACATCTGACTTCTTGTTCTCGCAGCATCACTACGAACAGAAGGGCAGCCGCGCCGGGGCCGGAAGAATAGGGGTTTTTCTATTCCATCATGAAGCCACTGGTTCTCGAACTGCAAAACTTGGACACCCCTCCCATGCGTCGGGAAACGCTGAGCGGATTTTCCCGAACGGGAACCAGGTCGGTGAAGATGAAATCAGCCCTGAAAAGGCACGAAGATGGAGTGGTGTTTGATTGACACGCGGTTAACACGCACTAGTCTCAATGAGTGTGGATCAGGGCTGTGACACCGGAGGGAGGCAAAAACATACCGGAGTGCCCACTCCTCTGATGGAGGAAAAGGGTGCAAGCGGATAATCGCCGTCCGGGTGAAGCATAGCTGGACATAGATAGGAATAGTTAAACTTCATTGGCAACAACCACGGAACACCGCCGCGGCGCGACCTTGATGTATGATGATGTTCAGCACGATTCGATTTGGACACTTCAGCAGGCACGTCAACCAAGTCTTGATGTATTGCATTGGCCGCTGCGGTGTACGCTGTCCCTCACTGAGGAAGCCACCGGCTAGAAATGAACCGTGAGACATCAGAGAAAGGGCTGCAGCCCCAGCTGGCAGATTGACTCGCGGGTAAGCTCCGCAGGGTCCCCAGAGCTCCTTCGCACGTGCATGCCGCAGGAAGGTCAAGCCTGAGCTACACAGCGCTCAAGATCACGACACGTCCAACGCGTCAGGACGACCTCGCCAGTGATAATGCTTGAGAGCTCGATTTTGGTAGATGCATCCGAATCCGTGACGGATAACGCGAACACCTCGTGCCATCTGGTCGTGCGTCAAGGCAGCTAATGTGAGAGCATGTCACCATTTCGGACTGCTGCCTGCGGCTTGATGCATAGCGCACTTCTGTCGTACTGCATGCGCAAGAGATGCACACCTGGATCCGAAGCGACGACGGGCGCGGTGGGAGCAATCAACTATACACAGACGAATCACGATATGTCTGGGAAGCGCGCTTGAACAGCGCTGGATTGCAAGACTCGCCGGGGAAACAGTCAAGCCGTCCTGATAATGAATCTTGGCTGCACAACTACTATATGCACACTAACGGTCTCTTCGAGTCAATATGATGCAGATGGAAGAGGAGATACAGCAGCGTTCAGGAGCACGAGGACTCGAACGTCACTGCACTGGGACGGCGTGGTGTGCCACTGCTTACTTTACTGTCACGCGGATAAGATGTTTTTCTGGCCCGGCTGCGGTATTCAGCGAGGATGAATCATGATATTCATATCCAAGTCGTAGAGCACATACGGTGTGTGTTGTGAAAACAAGTGCTCATTGACTTTATGATACATTGCCAATATCGTCCGTTAATTACGACCGTTAACGGGCTCTCTGGAATGAGGTAATGTGGTGGACCGCGGACGATGCTGAGGACTCGACTCCGACGTTTCTGACAGAATATGACAAGGGGCATGGCAGTGGTGTTAACCTTGGGCGACTACCCTACATTACACGAAAAGCTGGCACAGTGCACTGTGAATCACTCGAGCGACCTCGAGGCTGGTGCAGTTCTATTACAGCTAAAGCAACGATAGCAACTCGACCCACTTATTCAGGAACCCTTGTACCACTTCCGTCGGCATCGCGAACTCGTTATAATCAAGGCTCAGTGTAAACTTGCCCGCCCAGGAATATCCCCGGAAAAACCTGTGGCCGTTGTCCGTCAACAAGAAGGAATGCTCTTCCTAGCACTGAGACACTCACGGCCCCGGATCATGTTTATTCAACGACTGGAAAAAGTCCACAACTTCGATGACGGGCTGGCCACGTTTATCGTTGTATACAGCATCCAGGTACAGTTCACCTTGCCCATCAGCTGCATAGAACGGACCAGTCGACGGCGGGGGCGGTCTTCGTGTCATCCTAGTCATCAGTACGGGGCAGGAGTGCGGCAGCGACGCTACTCACGGAGCAGTCCCCGCCTTCAAGCCCGCAAACATGAGCTCAGACTCCTGGGAAGCAATGGCCAAGAGAGCCGGAAAATCACGCTGTTTTTTGTACTCCTGCTTGACTACCTCGGCCACTCGGAGGAGCTGGCCTTTCGTCCCCAGCGAGGCAGAAGAAGTGACGACGCTCACCCGTACGATGACCGGGGACATAGCGAGAGCATAACCAGGATAACCGTCCCTGCTAGAATACTTGCCCAGGAGACGGTTCCGGCCGTCCACGAGACCGTTGAATACGAACGCCGCATCTGCAGGTGTGGAATCCGTCGGTGGATTATCATCCACACAAATCAAGCAGAGAGCTGCCTGCGCTGAAGAGGGGATGAGAGACCGTTCCATGAAACATCGCAGAGCCTACCGATATGGTTGATGGTAAATCCGAGCGAACGCGCATTATCAATCATTCTGGTGCTTTCCGCAACCGAAAACGTATGCCATACGCGACGGGTCGTCCCCGGTCCGATGGCCCGCACCTTGAAGCCGTAAGCACACTGCGCAAGACGTATAATGTATCAGTAGCGTGAAAACGCATGCAAGAGCACACGACACTCACAGGCATACCAGTGGCCATTTCTTGCATCACAGTGCCCAACGTTCTCTGGTACCCTTCACCGCTTTTGTCCTCGTTAGGCCCCAAAATCTCCGTAGTCGGCGGAAGGAGATTCGCGACTTCCTCTCCCCACTTGTATCCGCTGAAGGACAAGAGAGACGAGTCTGCCAAGTAATTGGCCAGAACCTTCAAATATTTGGTGAGCACGATCTTGCTCGCTGCACCGTCGAACGGGGTGTGGTGGGTATACAAGAGCATTCCGTAAGACCTCTCTGAACGGGGCACGATATAGATGAACGTCTGTTCGCCAGACGGAATAGGGAGAGGGATCTTCCCGATCTCGACTCGTGCCTCCATCAGGTCATCCGTTTCCTCATAAAGCACCACCGTCTTCTCAGCCCATGCCCTGGCTTCGTCTTCGTCTTTGAGTGCGCGGTACGAGATGAAAGTGTCACCTTTGCGGTCCTGCTCGGTGGATGCCGCAATCGTAGGGATCTCCAGACGAGTGGCAATCCAGGCGGAACGTGCGAGGTCAAGAAGGTCGGTCGTCTTTACCGGAGACGTGATGCGAAGCTCTACTCCTAGGGAAAGGGTCTGTTCGCCGTGCAGAAAGCGGTTGAAGATATCCTCAAACACCTCGCCACCGTGGGCCTCGCGAACGTATCTCGAAGGGTCCTTTGTTGACCTGCGCCAGACGAACCGGGCAAAATCCATCGGAGGGAAAGCTGACTGGGACATTGTCGAGTACGGGGAGAAGCGCGCACTACTAGTAGCAATGCCTGTTTCTCGTTGGCCTTGATACTGCCGATGGATGTGTCATGATCCTTTTGTACTGGCAGTGGTACATCGACTTCGATGATGAACAGATAAACAGTGCGTGAACCCACTATAACTTTGGACGACTGGTATTGTCCGGAGCCTGCCGGTCAAAGTTCATCTGATGTCGGCCGCGATGTGGCTGTTGCCTGGAATTCGAACCAGCTGAGGGCGTCTTACACCCTCTTAAGGAAGTAGCTGCCAACTTGAAGCATAAAATTGGAGGATGTTGCAGCCCGGTGAGTACGGTCCCAACAGCGATTGGGCGCTTTTAGCCGAGGCGGTGACATTCCAGCAGATCTATCAGAAGCCCATGCCTCTTCCGCCGCCCTCAGTGGAAGGACAGGGCAGGAAGTGTGTGATCCGGATTTCCCGAGCCACGATGCTGACTTCGTTCCAGATGACCGGACCACAGATCCATCGGCGTCAATCTGCAGATGTAAGGGACCCATCCACCGGTCTCTCACATCCCACGACCTCAGCAAGCTTCAGCGCGTCCGTGTCGGCTTTCGCACCTCGGCCCTC